AATATTATCATCATCATCATTATCATCCTCGACCTCAACACCGCACCACCCCATCACTATCACTAAGCCCACCACTATCACTAAGCCCACCACTACCGCCACCCCATCGCCACCGCCACCGCCACCGCCACCGCCACCGCCACCGCTATCACTATCATCATCAGACATTATTATCATCAAGCTCAAATAGGTATCTTTGTGGATTGTTAATATTATTTCAGGAAATTTTGCCATTTACACTATTTGTGCTTCTTATTTCCAACAATCTTACACGTACGTCTTTCCGTATCCTTACGTGACATAAATATTTTTGCAACGCGAAAACGTAAACAAACGTGACAATAAAAAAAAAGAAAAAAAAAAATCGAAACAACTAACATTACGCTGTATTTTAAATATAAATATTTTAAGTTAAATTGTAATATTATTATTTCTCATTAAGTTTTTTAGTTGCCCAAAATATTTGGCATTACTACTATTTACTACAAATTCTATTATTATTACTGCTACTATTATTTATTACTGTTATTATTATCATCACTACCATTATTATCATTATCATTTATTGCTACTATTATTTGTTACTTAATTATTGTTTGATATTATATACGATTATATATCGATCAATCGATCGATCGATTAGTTTAATCAATCAATAATTGGTATTTAGTGCCATCAATAAATACAATGGCACAAGGAACTCCACGTAAATTTGCGGAAAAAATTGCAATAATGGAAAGGAAGCAAAATGAAGATCAAGAATTATTTACCTCTGTTATGCGTGATGTTCGTGCAATTACCAGTAATTGTACTGCATCACCATCAGTATGTTCCAGTCCTCAGGCTCTTGCACCACCAATACATTGGAATAATCGTTCGGGTAGTTCATTACCAAATGTTCATGAAATGGTACAACAACAACCAAATGTTCGTAATTGGCCATATTGGCCTAGTTCATCACAAATAAATCCATCACATCATTCACGTGGTCGTACACCTGGTACCACAACACATTATCATCCATATAAATCATCCAAACAACATGAACGTTATTCACCAATTGATCAATTGGATTATCAACATTTACATTGTTCAGCAAGTAATCATTTACGACCACCAGATATGTTATGGCCAAAGTAAGTACTTTATATTAATTAGAATGTTTAATTAATTAACTGACAATTGTAAGTAAGATCAATTTAGTAGTTAAATAAGCATTGTTTCACATTTCATTTGTTTTTCTTTTGTGGACAATATCTTTAAATGATGACAAGCTTTGTTTGCCTTTTTTTTTTTTCTTTTCTTTTTTCTTGTCCCTTTATCGCTTAAGTCAAGTAAGGCCATTTTATTACCAATTTTTTTTTTTATTAAAAGACAAATAAGTGCTACTTTCCTTTTTTCTTCCTTTTTTTTTCCCTCTCATCTCCCGATAATTGCAATATCTTATTGATAAGAACATAATTAACATAATTAATTATTTTATAACACTTTTTTTTATGATAAGAATAATTTTTCCGTTAGAAATAAGCCAAAATAAAATGATACATATATCGAGCATATCATATTATAGATTGATATGTTATTAAGACAGAAAATTTAGTGATAAGAATGTTAATGTTAATGTTATAAGGAGAAGAAAGGAAAATTAATTAATTCATCAATTTTCAAATCTTTAATTGGAATACAAAATTTTATGAAGTATAAAAATATCTGCCATATGGATTATGTTAAGTTTTTTTTCTTAAATACAACTTACCTGAAATATTTTATTTATTAGATATTTTAATAGTTTATGAGATATTATCATTTATTTGCAGAGCTCGTAGCGATCCAACAATATCAATAAATTTATATCAACAACAAGAACGACCGGAAAATTTCAACATACAAGATTTGACAATTTTATCATCAAATCAATTATCACCATTAGAACAATCATTATCATCATTTCATCATGCAACAGATTCATATAATGGTATTATGCAACAAAAGGTTATCTATGATAACAAGGATATCGCGGTTGGTTCATTACCAGATATACCAACTCCAATTGCTTCAATACAATCATGTCCATATCATCATCATCATCATCATCAAACAATTGCACAACGACATAGTACAGGTTTATGTCAAACTTTAGCTACTCCACCATCATCATCTGAATCACAATCAGCGCCAACAAGTCCAGCTCAAAGTATTGAATTACCAGTACCAACATCATGGCCACAACGACATTACTCAAACAGTCCCGAATCACGGGAAATTCCAAATATTGTCCTAACGGGTACCGATGGAGAACTCGATTGCTTTCAGGATTTACAGGATTTACATTTAGATGCCAATGAATTACAACAATTGCTAAGTAGTGGTGGACAAGTTGATCCTGCAGGTGAAACACAACTTGAATAATTTGTTTTGTTCTAATTTTTCGTTTCATGATCTCTTATTGATTGAATTAAATTTTTTCTTCTAAATTTTAAAAATAGAAAAATTAATGAGAAACTAAGTTTTTTAAAATTTGCTTCTTAAATACATTTTGCAATTTAAAGTGGTTAATTAAGACAATTAATTGTATAGTTAAGATGTTTTAATTCCTTTTGTTTTTTCACTTTTCATTCTTTTTTTTTTCGAAAAAAATTCCCATAAATTACAAATAACAGTAGTGTTTTTGATAGTGTTAATCAATAGGATACGTATGGATAACATCACGTTTTTTTTTTTGTTTTTATTTTCTTGGATTGAATGATAATAATCTTTTGATAATCCTAAGATAATTTTCATATGTTTCTGATAATTTCATAGAACTTGGACTAAAAAACTTTTCATCATTTTTCCTTTTTTTTTTTTTTGAAAACTTTAGAAAAAAAAAGAAACGAAATATTAGTAAAATGAAATGAAGCATTGAAAATTGTCGTATGAATTGTATTATTTCATTCATTGTTCGTTTTCTTTTGCTCTTTTTGGTTTACCTAAATTATTTTAAAAAAAAGTTTTTTTTTTCCCCTCTGCCTCAAATTTCTCCAAAATTTGCAGTGAACATTTTAATTTAACTTGATTAATTAATTGCTAGTTTATGATTTAATTGTTGGTATAGATCATTTCAGTATGTTAATTTTTCATCCAAAAATTAATTAATTTTAATTCAATCATGAATTTTTCTTTTTTTTTCTTTATATTTTATTTGATATTCAAGATGAATGAAAAGATATGCTAATGTTTTTAAAAAAGGAAAACAAGTTTTATTATTGAAAGTATAAATTAAAAGATAGATAATTGAAGCCATTTAAGCAAATAATTACATACATAATTTAATAAATAACTTACTCGAAAACTACTACGTAAGCAAACAATTAAGTAAAATAAGTTAGTATCTTAGTTGCTAATACTTAATTCTTTATTTGAGATTTAATTTCGTTGATTTCATTATTTTTCTTAATTAACTATTAAAGGTATTGTAAGTTTGTAATTAACCAAATCTTATTTAAAAAAGGTAGAAAAGGAAATTAGAAGAATGATAAAATTTTCTCAAAAATATATTCATTATCGAATATGCTTCTAAAAGGAATTCAAAGGTTACAAGTGCTCAAAAATAATACATATATTTTAAAATATTTTATAAAAATTATTTTCAGGTTGAAATTTTAATTTAACTAAAATAGAATATTCATAATTGATGATAAATTTTGCAAAACAATTAACTTTTTCCTGATTTATCGAAAATGATCGGGTCATTAATGAATTGTACCAAATTCCTTCTGATGATATTTTTGTTCATACAATAAATTGGAAATGATCATTTATCAAATATTCACCGAATGAGCTCATATGATAGCAAATTCTTTTGAACTATTCTATTTTTAAAATCTATCCCTTACATTTGATGGTTCCCAATTTTTTTTCTTAAAACCAGAGATCACTTTTGGTTTTTTTTTGATTTGTACCATGGATCAACCATACGGTTCATTTTTTAATTTGAAAATAAATTTTAATCAAAAAATTTTTAAGTTCTAATTAAATTTAGGATAATATTGAAGAAAAATAAAATCCGCTTGTTTTTAATTTATCATATCATCGTCATTCTTGCGAATCATTGGTTGGGAATCACTACATACTATCAATGATAATACCAGTGATAATTTTTTCATAAAATAGGCAAAAAAAAAAGTGCAGTGAAATACAATAAATCGATAGTATATCTTTTAGTTTAGCGCCCTTTCAAAATATTACAATAAAAAAATTACTGAAAAATTTCTCATTAATTATTTTTTTTTAAAAAAGAAAAAAAACTTTTCCCACCTTGCTAATAATATATACATAATGAATATATTTATTTTTGCAATAGTGCCATGAAAATTATTGAACATTTCATATGTTTATAATGTCTTTTTTTTGTCCAAAAATTGTCCCTTCAATTTGTCATTTCATTAATTTTCATTTATTAAAATATATTGTCTGATTAAAAAATGAAGAAAAAAAAGACTCTTTGATTCATTATTGCTCAAATATGTTTTTTTTTTATCTATTTTTTTTACAATTAATTTGTTTTGTATTTTTAATATGTGTATATGTATGTGTATGTGTATGTATGTGTGTGTGTATGTGTGTGTGTGTGTTTTGTTTTTCTTTCGTTTATTTTAAAAAACTTCAAATCTATCAATTAAAAAAAAAGATACTTTTGAAGGAATTTTGTAAAATAGCAAAATATAATGTTACAGTCTTTCACTATTTATGGAAATAAATTGTGAAAAATGAGTGAAAAATGATCGATGTTTATCGTTTGACATTTATGTTTGATTTGTAAATGACATCCAAATAGAATTATTAAAATTTTTTTCCATCCTTTCCGCTTTTTCTTTTCCAAGTCAGATAATTTTCAAATAAATCAATCAAGTCAAAATTTCGAATTTTACAATTACTACCCTTTTTTTTCATATCACTTTTAAACAATGATAAGAAGAGCGAAAAGATTCAACAATGGATCAATGATCAAGATTAAAAATGATTTTTCTTTGAAATCTTCCGCTTAAGTCAATCTTAGCTGATTAATAAACTTAAAATACATACCAATTATTTCCTGCTGATAAAGGGAGGATGCGTTACAATGGAAATAAAAAGGCTTTTCTTTCATCTTATCATTTTGATCTTTGATGCTTTAAACACTCTTAATATATAAATATCATAGCATCAAAATTTTGTAAGCAAATTTTTATGAAGCAAATGAAAAAAAGAAAAGAAAAAAGGGAAGGAAAAAAGACATAAAAGCAGGAATTAAACAATAAAATTATACTGGTGAATAAGAGAAGAAAATTCATTAAAATATCAATCCATATAGAATTGGATAATCTGAAGCTATAAAAATTTCCCTTCAAATATTTTTAGAGAAAAAAAAGGAAAGCAAAAAAAAAGGAAAAAAAACTAACTTTCATTTTAAAATGAAGCAGATGGATTATTGTTGATAGGTATACCTTTTTGATCTTCAAATAAAATATATTTATCATTATACGAAAATTTTATAAGCTTAAATTTATTACCAACGATAGGTTGCTATCAACATTTCGCCCAAAAAATTTTCCCAATCTTTATCTTTTTTTGTTTAAAATTTCTTTTTTCTTTACTCTTATATTTTGTCTTTTTTTCAACAAACTTTTAAAAAAAAACACAAAGTGATTATATGATATTTCTTAAAATAAAATTGAAAAAGTGGCAATCTTTATTTTTTTAAAAATATTTTAGAAAATTAATTCAATC